AGGTAGGTATCTGGGGATGACGGTGCGTATTGATCGTCTGTAGGTAGATATCTGGGGATGACGGTGCCGGTGGTCACTAACATCCACATGATGGAGGACGGAAACACATTGAAGAAAGACGTCCAGACTTCTTACTTCCTGCCCGCAGAGTTTCAGACCGATCCCCCCCGGCCCTCCGACTCCGACATCACCATTGTGTACAGAGAGCCAATCAGAGTCATTGCCAGGTCAGAACATCATCATCATGGTGCTTCATATCAAACGTTTTAATCCAGTATGTGATCACAGTTATCGTCCTGTTGACTTCTCGATTTACAGCTCTAAACCAGTAGAATCCTGACAATGGATTAAATTCACACTTCAGACCTTTTTGTGGTGCGTTCAAGTCATATCAGACTAACTGTAATAGTTGATGATGCTCTCTCTGATTGGCTGGCAGGACGTTCTTCGGGTCGACCACAGAGGAGACGCTGACCCGTCAGATCGACCTTCTGTGGGAGATCCTGGGCGTTGGCGACGACCTCCACAGAGACGGTTACATGGTCGCCGCTTACGAGAACCCGAGCATCCCGAGACGCAGGAACGAGATCTGGTTCATCAGACGCAACCTGTAGACGCCGCCTTCCCATCATGCTCTGCTCCTCCTCCTCCCCCTCTGATTGGCTGGTGTTGATCTGCTCACTTCCTGTAGAGCAGTTTCAATTTTTTTACTTTGTTTTAACAGGACTCTGAAATCTCAAAGTGACCAATCAGAGCAAGTTTGTGTTTGTTAGCGACAGCTGACACTAAAGTCCCGCCCCCTGCCTGTTCCGTCCAATCAGAATGCCTTTCTGACTAACTGATATCCCACTGGTTCATACATTCATATGATCTTTTGTCATAACAGGAAGTACATCTCTGATCATCTGTTCAGGTCGCAGCCAATCAGACTGTAAACGGAGCACTTCAACATTTAGATAAATCCTCTCCGAGGTCCAGATCCAGGTCCTGCTCCTGGTCCGGGTTCAGGATCTGGTCCTGGTCCGATCCGGCTGCTGCAGTTTGTCTTGTTTGTAGTTTCAGTTTAAAGCGAGAAAAGAAAGAAAGTGAATAGTTTTGTAAAAGATGGACTTGTAGCTTTTCGGCATTTGTCGGCATTTGTTTGATGAAATATTAAATATTTAGTGATTGTATTTCTTCAACATGTCGAACTGACTTTAACTCACTTCTGTGGTTTTAATCCTGCAGCTCTGCTGTTTTCATTTTCTCAGTATTTGATGTGAAACAATATAAAAAAGACCAAACAGCTTTGTGATTTTTGGTGCCTGTTACTAGTTTTATCCACTTCCGGTTCCCTTTCACAGTAAAATTGTCAAAAATAAAATCTGATGTTTTGAAAGTGAAGACGTTTGAATCTCTAAATATGAAAGAATGGGTCAACTCATGAAAAAACAAACTGTAGCTTTAATAACAATCAATAAGTCTCAGATATTAGGCCTTCAACAACTTCACCGAGACGTGCATTTAAGAAATCACAACACGACATTTTGATTCTCCAACCAACAGTGAGATACTATACTATGACTATACTACACAGAAGAAGTTTATTGACTTATCAATAAAAAGCACTAAATAACGACTTTCAAACATTTAGGTGAAATCAAAACAACTTTATTTACAAAAACAAATCATGTCTTACAGTTGTTTTCACCTCAACAGTGAAATTGAGAAATACACTAAAACTAACAAGAGAAAAAAAACAAATACAGGAGATAACAGGAAGTAAAAGGGGCGGGGCTTCTGAAAATGCATCCATGTTTAGATCAGATCGGCCACTGCAGAGAAGAAACAAAACACATGTTAGCGGGTATTGATTCATAAAACACACGGCTCGCTGTGATTGGTCGTACCGTTCATGGGCATCTCGTCGATCTGGGTGGAGTAATACTGCTCGATGTCACGCAGGATCCGGATGTCGTCGTTCTTCACGAAGTTGATGGCCACGCCCTTACGACCGTAACGACCAGACCGACCAATCCTGAAGGAGGTCAGACATGTTATAAACACACAATGGGATTAGGTCCCGCCCCCCAACGGCCCACCCATCACAGTGATGATGTGGGACTACTTTCTGCTCAGTGATACGTACCTGTGGATGTAGAGCTCTCTGTGGGACTACTTTCTGCTCAGTGATATGTACATGTGGATGTAGAGCTCTCTGTGGGACTACTTTCTGCTCAGTGATACGTACCTGTGGATGTAGAGCTCTCTGTTGTTGGGAAGGTCGTAGTTGATGATCAGAGAAACTTGAGGAACGTCTAAACCTCGAGCCCAGACGTCCGTAGAGATCAATACACGACTGAAACAGATCAATGAATATCAATACACTACTGGGTCCTGGTCTAGGCTGGGTCCTGGTCTAGTCTTGATTAGGAGGCTCCGTGACTGGGTTGGCATAGCGTTAGACTGGTTTGCATCTTACCTCACTGACAGAACTTTTAATGTCTCTGTGGGTGATTTTGTGTCCGTTACCTCTCCACTGTCCTGTGGTGTACCACAGGGCTCGGCTCTGGGGCCTCTGTTATTTTGCCTTTATTTGTTGCCTTTGGGACCAATTCTAAAAAGTTATAACATGTCCTATCATTTATACGCAGATGATATTCAACTCCATCTGTCATTCAAACCCAGCGAGGCCTTCACACCGGATGAGTTTGTCTCTACGATCAGTATGAGTATTGGTCCACTCTTCTCTGCTGCCCACTACAACCTGTGTAATCTAGGGGTAATATTTGACCAATCACTGTAGTTTAACCCCCATGTTAAGCAGCTGTCCAGATCTTGTTTCTTCAGCCTAAGAATTCAGCAAACTGAGATCTGTAGCATCACCCCCGTACTCACATCTCTCCACTGGCTCCCTGTAGCATTTAGGATCCACTTTAAGCTCCTCCCCCTCTCTCACAGAGCACTACACGGTCAGACTCCTACATGACTGAACTACTTCACCCTTATTCACCCCGTGCTCTCAGGTCAAACGTGTTAAATCCCTGTCTGTCCCACGCACTCGCCTAAAGACCCGCAGTGACCCAGCATTTGAGGCAGTAGCACCACGGCGGCGGAAGGCTCTGCCTGCACCTCCACACGTTGCTGATTCAGTGAATTCATTCCACAATCGGCTCAAGATTCACCTGTTCACACGTGTTTAAACTCATGTCTTATGCTGTTATGCCATGTCCTAATCCAGTTTTGTGTCGTCTTAAATGTAAACTTTTGGTCCTTACACGCTTTGTGTTTGTAAGTCTGCTCCTGTTACGCACTTTGTGACTAAATGTCTGTGAAAATCGCTTTATAAATACATTTTACTTACAATCTGGGCCCTGGTCTAAGCTCTGGGTCCTAGTCTAAGCTCTGGGTCCTGAGCTGAACACCTTCATGCTGGACTCCCTCTCTTTCTGAGGCATGTCTCTCTTGTTCTGGGCCCTGGTCTTAGACTAGGTCCTGGTCTTACCTGGCTCCTGATCTGAACTCCTTCATGATGGACTCCCTCTCTTTCTGAGGCATGTCTCCATGCATCGAGGACACGGTGAAGTTGGCCTCTCTCATCTTCTCCGTGAGCCAGTCCACCTGAAACACACACGGACAAATGAAGACTCCAATTCCCAGAAGGCTTTGCTGCAGTGATGTGAGCTGCAGTGACAGACCTTCCTCTTGGTGTTACAGAAGATGACGGCCTGAGTGATGGTCAGCGTGTCGTAGAGATCACACAGAGTGTCAAACTTCCACTCTTCTCTCTCCACGGCAACGAAGAACTGTTTGATCCCCTCCAGAGTAAGCTCGTCACTACGGAGACACGGTAGAAAAACATTATACATACATATACACACACATATATATACACACACATATATATACATATACACATATATACACACACATATATATATACATATACACATATATATACACACACATATATACACACATATATATACATATATACACACATATATATACATATATACACACATATATATACATATATACACACATATATATATATATATA